TCTGGAGTTTGGCTATAATATTCCTGGGAATGTTCATTTTGGGATCTCTTTCAGGAGGTGATCAGTGGATTCTTTCAATTTCTATTGAAAGAATATCAGGACAGTTTTCTTTGATAATTTCTTGAAAGATGATGTCTAGGCTCTTTTTTTGATCATAACTTTCAGGTAGTCCAATAATTCTTAAATTCTTTCTTCTGGATCTATTTTCCAGGTCAGTTGTTTTTCCAATGAGATATTTCACATTTTCTTCTATCTTTCATTCTTTTTATTTTGTTTGATTGTTTCTTCATGTTCCATAAAGTCATTATCTTCCGCTTGCCCAATTCTAACTTTTAAGGAAAGTTCTTCTTCAGTGAGTTTTTGTAAATCTTTTTCCATTTGGCCAATTCTGCTTTTCAAGGCATCCTTCTCTTCATTGGATTTTTGTGCCTCTTTTACCATTTGACCTAATCTGTTTTTTAAGGTGTTATTTTCTTCAGTATTTTTTGTTCCTCCTTTACCAAGCTGTTGACTCTTTTTTCGTGATTTTCTTGCATCACTCTCTTTTGTTTTCCTAATTTTTCCTCTACCTCTCTTACTTGATTTTTAAAATCCTTTTTGCGCTCTTCCATGGCCTGAGACCAATTCATATTTTTCTTTGAGGCTTTGGATGCAAGAATTTTGACTTTGTTGTCTTCTTCTGAATGTGTGTTTTGATCTTCCTTGTCACCATAGTAACTTTCTTTGGTCAGAATTTTTTTCTGTTTTTGCTCATTTTCCAGCCTACTTCTTGGCTATCAACTCCGTGCTAAAGTAGGGCTCTGCTTCCCAAATAGACGGGGCACCGTCCCAAGCTTCAGGGTTTTCTTTGTGCAGCTACTTTTGGAGGTAATTCTGGGGACCTGTACATTTTTGACTCTTCCAGGGTGGTGTGATCTAAGGAAAGGTGTGTTTACTACTCTCCTGTACTGTGCTCTGGTTTGTTAGCAACCACAAGCACTCTTTTTCAGCCCTGGAACCATAACCAGGATCCCTGTTCCCCTGCACCTGCACACCCTGCTGTGCTAGTGGTCCTCCTCATACCAAGACCAAGTCCCAGGACTGTGACCCAGATCAAAGTACAGGCAATGCAACAGAGTCCTGCCCCCAATATCATCAAAGGGACTCCTGCAAATCTCCTTCTGACCCATTGTCCAATCCCCTTACCATCTGTGGACTGAGAGGTCTGGAAACCCCCACTGCTGCCGCTGATTCAGTCACCCTGAGGCGTGCTCCTTGCTGGGGCCTGGTCTGCATTGGACTGAGAACCTCTCTCACCCTGGTGACCTTTCCTGCTGACTTTCTAAGTTGTCTTGGGCTGGAAAATTGTTTCACTCCGTCTTTTTGTGGTTCTGCCCCTCTAGAATTTGTTTAGACTCATCATTTAAAGGTGTTTGGAAGGGTGTGGGAGAGACCTTGGGCGAGTCCCTGCCGTTACGCCGCCATCTTGGCTCTGCCTCCTCTCTGTGATGATGGTACTTTTGACAATAACAGAGGAGTTGAGAGAAGATAATATCAACAAAAGGAGAATAGGGTGAGTGGCAGCGTCAGAGGCTACAGAGAGGTCGAAAAGATGAGGACTGAGAAAAAACCTTTAAGTGCAGTGAGTAAGAGACCTCGGGTAACTTTGGAGAGAGCAGTTTCTATTGAATAAGGATGGAAACCAAATTGCAAAGTGTTAAACAAACAAGAGGAAAGGAAATGCAGGGACCTATTGTAGACAGCCTTCTCAAGGAGCTGAGCCACAGAAAGGAGGAGGTGTAGGACAATAGCCGGTGGGGAGAGATGGATCAAGTGAGTGGTTTTTGATGATAGACAAGACATGCATATGTTTTTAGGCAGTAGGGAAATGGCCAGTAGATGGGGAGAGAATGAAGATTTAAGGGAGAAGGTCAGGACGATAGATGGGGCAATCCACTGGGAAAGACAGCTTGGAATGGGATCACTTGTGAACGTGGAAGGGTTTGCCCTGGCAAGGAGAAGGGCACATGTGAGACAGGCGAAGGATAGTAGCAGATGGTATTTGTAGAGTATGTCCCTAGCAGTATACCAGGCCAGATTCTCTACATGTAGAATGAACAGCAAACTTCATATAGGTAAATGTTTGGCATAGTTTACTAGAAAGATGCACTCCCCCAACACCCAGTTCCGCCATTAACCCATTACGTGAACTTGTCACTTTCCCTCGATGGGACTCAGGGTCTTCACCTGTGAAGTGCTAGAATTGGATGACAGGATATCTAAGGCCCCTCCCACCCCTAATTATCTATTAGCTCAATGCCCTGTAAGTTTTCAGAGAATCTAGATGCTCTTCTTTCCTGCGTCTTGGCTGAGAGGATGCCCACTTACTGGCGGCTTGCTCTGGACCTTTCACAGTGGATGCTGGCCTTGCACAGTGGGAAGTCACTGGAGGTCTCCTTCAGATTTTGTCCTAAAGAGCTTAAGCCCAAACAAATCCTGGGTCAAAGTGGAATGACAAGGGAAGAATAAGGGGGAATAAGCCTTTGGAAATCTGCCTGGTCTATGCCAAGCCTTGAAATGATGACTGAGAGAACCTTCTGCCCTATGGGAAACAAAACTCTCCGCGTGCTTTGGAGGCAGAAAGTGTCTCTTTAATGACATGTCAACAAATGGACATTTTTAACTTAGATTTGCTCTGTCTCAGATTCAGAGTGGACTGGAACTGATAAAATGCCTTTTTAGTTCATAGAGTGACTTGCCTGAATGGTCTCATATGTAAATGCCTGGCCCCCTCAATTTGAGTGAAGATGTAACATCCAGAGATGCTTCCCCTTTGCCTACCAAAACATCAGCTGTTTTTCTCTGATGTGACGCTCAAGCCATCTTTTTATTTTCATCTATTTCATTTTGAGTGAGGCATGACAGTCCACTGTGTGTTGCATTAAAGTGGCCAGTGGGCTGATTTCCCTTTTGGCCCTAGGCGTAGACACAGAGAATTCCCTTCAAAAAGTAGTTTTCCTTTTCAGGGCCCACTATCCTGTGGATTCCTGTCCCAGCTTCATTGGAAGACAAGGGACCTAAAGGAGAGAGTAAGCACATTGTGTATTTATGAGAACTTATTTGATATTTTGGAAAGACAGAGTTCATTCCTCTCTTCCTGTATCCCATAAAACAGAGGGTCTTAATCTAGGGTCTATGAACCTATTTTTCTAATTTTTTTTAATATGTGTTTCCATAGAATTAGTTTCCTTCATAATCTTGTGTATTTTTATTCTATGGATTGAAATACATGATTCTGAGACAGGGTCCATGGGTTTCATTCACCAGACTGCCTGCAGGAGGGGTCCAGGGCACAAGAAAGGCTGAGAACCCCGGCTTTAGAGCGGTGCAGTCCTAGCCAGAGTCTTTAATGGGGCGGGTTGTACCAGGTAGAGGCAAGCAATGTTAGAAGACTAGCCACATTCCCCTATATTTGTCTTCTTTTCCATGACGCCTCTGCTTCTCTCCCGCCTTCACCGTACTTTTCATTCCCTTTCTGATCCCCAGCTCTCTCCTAGCTGGGAGTATGGCTTTCATTCTACAACTGGGTACTGACCAAAATGAATCAGCAATGATCAGATGAGGCAATTGAAGAAAGGAATGTGTGATGGGGGGGGTACTCTACCGAAGGAAACTACTCTAGTGGAATTGTTTAAACCAATGGCAAAGGAATAGGAATCGGGGCCAAGTGTGATGGGGGGGGGATAGGCCCTGCAGGGTAAGCCTTGGAGCAAGTCACCCTAGAACCTGGTAGGTCCCATCTGGCCTTTGAGGTTACCACGCGGAGAGTTCTGCCCTAGGGAGAAATGTCTGCTCTTCAGGGAAAGGCTGTCTTTCAGATTGGTCACCTCCATCATATTGTGTCTTCTAGTGCCGGCATCAAAAAGCTGTCTTCAGAAGGAGAGCATCTCAGATGTTCTTCCCAACTCTTCTGCCAAACGCCCAACCAGAAGCTGGGGTTGGAGGAGTAGGCACTTAAGTCTGGAAATTCGGCCTGGCCCTCAGTCCTGATGTACTGAATTCTCCAGTGAGCTGTTTAAGTAGATTAGATGGGTGAGGGGCAGGATCCTTTTTTTCCCCAATTGTGTTGTTCTGCTCCCAGCCTCCAGTGATTCCCCTCCCTCCCAATTCCAGCAGCAGTATGGGGGATCAAGGTTAAGAGCCCACATAGAGCCTACCAGCCTGGCACTAAAAAGCTGCGTGGCCTCGATGACCAGACAAGGTCCTGGCCTCCTCTTCTCTTCCATTTTCACCAGCTTATGAGCTCGTCTGTGGCTGATTCGTGTTATCCTAATGCCTTGACCCAACCGACAGACCTTCTTTGATTCACGTGGTGCCACCGGAAAGCCACAAGGCTGTGGGCTAGCCAGAGCAGTTACAGTGGGACACCCAGAACCTCGTGGGCCTCACACACTGGCCGGGCTAGTGGAGAGTTTTAGTTTACTGACCGTATAATTGGGGACGTCCTCCGTTTTTAAAGAGGATCAAAATGACACAACTGTGTTAAGGTCAAGTTACAATGTCTCCGACCGCAGCTGATCAGACCAATATGGGCTTGAACGGTGGGGCACAAATAGTCCCTGTAGACATTTGGGTTTACTTTGAGTTGCTTCAGTTCTGCTCCACTCGTGGAGCAGGGCGCCTTCTCAGATGGGACACACCGGGCTGGGCAACCTTGTGCCGAGTTCTCCCATGTTTCGGAAGACTGGGGAAGAAAAGAAAGCTTATGCTTACCTTGGTTGATATCAGCCAGAGGTTCTCGGGTCTAAAGGTTGAGACCCAAAACTATTTATGCCAAGTTCTTTTCTAATACTTTGATTAGAATTCATGCATAGTGGGGATGGGGTGGGGCTAGAACCCTGAGGCCTTAGCTTGTGCTGGCTGACACGGGCAACATTATGATGTTGGAACCCTGCCCCGTCTCCCTCATCTCGTCATTTCCAACCCGGCTGATGGCCTCGTTTTGTCTCCATTTCTTTTAGCTTTAACGTCTCCCAAACCGAACCTGATGGGTCTGCCTGGCACCACGGTCCCTTCACCTGGCCTTCCGACATCTGGATTACCAAATAAACAGTCGTCAGCCTCGCTGAGCTCCCCGACCCCAGCACAAGCCACTACGGCTGTGACCCCGCAACAACCCCCCCAGCCCCAGCAGCAGCAGCAGCCGCCGCCTCCGCCGCCAACACCGCAGCCCCAGCAGCCGCAGCAGCAGCAGCCGCCGCCGCCAACACCGCAGCAGCCGCAGCAGCGAAAGGACAAGGAAGTAGAGAAAATGAAAGAGAAAGAAAAGGCACATAAAGGGAAAGGGGAGACCCCGGCGGGCCCCAAGAAGGACAAAGGAGAGGCCCCCGCGGCCACCCTCTCTGCCCCGTTACCCACGATGGAGTACGCGGTGGACCCGACCCAGCTGCAGGCCCTGCAGGCAGCCTTGACTTCGGACCCCACCGCCCTGCTCACCAGCCAGTTCCTTCCTTACTTCGTCCCCGGCTTCTCTCCTTACTATGCCCCCCAGATCCCGGGCGCCCTGCAGAGCGGCTACCTGCAGCCCATGTACGGCATGGAGGGCCTGTTCCCCTACAGCCCCGCGCTGTCGCAGGCCTTGATGGGGCTGTCCCCCGGCTCCTTGCTGCAGCAGTATCAGCAATACCAGCAGAGTCTGCAGGAAGCGCTGCAGCAGCAGCAGCGACAGCTGCAGCCGCCCCAACAGCAGCAGCACCAACCGCAGAAAGTGCAGCAGCCGCAGCAGCAGCAGCAGCCGCAGCCGCAGCAGCAAGCGCCCAAAGCAAGCCAAACACCAGCCCCCCCGGGGGCTGCTTCCCCCGACAAAGACCCTGCCAAAGAATCCCCCAAACCAGAAGAGCAGAAAAGCGCACCCTGCGAGGTGCCCCCCCACCTGCCGAAACCCCCAGAAGAGCCAGAAGCAGAAAGCAAAAGTGTGGACTCCCTCTCCGACCCCTTCATTGTTCCAAAGGTGCAGTACAAGCTGGTCTGCCGTAAGTGCCAGGCGGGCTTCGGCGACGAGGAGGCGGCCACGAGCCACCTGAAGTCCCTCTGCTTCTTGGGCCAGTCGGCGGCGAGCCTGCAGGAGATGGTGCTCCACGTGCCCACGGGCGGCGGCGGCGGCGGCGGCGGGGGGTCCGGCGGGGGCGGGGGCGGCGGGGGCCCCTACCACTGCCTAGCCTGCGAGAGCACCCTCTGTGGGGACGAGGCGCTGAGTCAACATCTCGAGTCGACCTTGCACAAACACAGAACAATCACGAGAGCAGCAAGAAACGCCAAAGAGCACCCTAGTTTATTACCTCACTCTGCCTGCTTCCCCGGTCCTGGCACCGCATCTACCTCGCAGTCTGCCGCTCACTCCAACGACAGCCCCCCGCCCCCCTCCTCCTCCTCTTCCTCCTCCTCCTCCTCCTCTTCCTCCTCCTCCTCCGCTTCCCCCCACGCCTCCTCCAGAAAGTCTTGGCCTCCAGGGGTCCCTCGGGCTTCGGTTGGGAAGCCTGCTTCTTTTCCTCCTCTCTCCTCATCTTCAACGGTTACCTCAAGTTCATGCAGCACCTCAGGGGTTCAGCCCTCGATGCCAACAGACGACTATTCGGAGGAGTCTGACACGGATCTTAGCCAAAAGTCCGAGGGGCCAGCCAGCCCGGCCGAGGGGCCCCCGGCCCCCAGCTGCCCCCCCCAGGACCCTGGTCTAGCTAGTGTAGGAATGGACCCCTTCAGATTGTAAGCTTTGAAGATGAACGATTTAAAACAAACAAACACACACACACACAAACACACACACACAAATGAATTTAAGTAAAAAAAATTAATAACAAACCAATTTCAAAAATAGACTAACTGCAATTCCAAAGCTTCTAACCAAAAAAAAAAAAAGAAAAAAAAAGAAAAAAAAAAAGAAAAAGAGTGGGTTGTTTTCCCATATAACTATCTATGCCGGTGATTTTACATTCTTACCTTTTTTTTTCTTTTACTATAAAATACCAACTCTGTTACATTTGTCCTTTTGAAGGTACTATTGGTCTGGGAGACAGAAGTCCGTAGGGCCTCCTCATTGTCTTTGGAGCTTACACCCCCTTGTATATTGCCCCTTTTCAATAACGCCCCAATTGATAGCACAGCAGAGTCCGGCATGCACTGTATGGGAAAGCAGTCCACCTTGTTACAGTTTTAAATTTCTTGCTATCTTAGCATTCAGATACCAATGGCTTGCTAAAAGAAAAAAGAAATGTAATGTCTTTTTATTCTCAGGTCAATCGCTCACACTTTGTTCTGTTTTCAGAATCATTGTTTTATATATATATATATAAATATATATATTTTCTTTTTTTTGTTCCAGAAAAGATTTTTTTGTTTGTTAATTTAAAAATGGGCAGAAAGTATTCGAGGAAAAAAAAAAACAATGTGAACTGCTTTAGCTTTCTGGGGATTTTAAGGATAGCTTTTCTGCTGAAGCCAATTTCAAGGGGAAAAGTTAAGCACTCCCACTTTTCAGAAAAAAATAATAATAAACACACAAAGAGTGTTGAGGACTTGTAGCTAAAAAAAATAAGTTTTAAAAAAACTGACTTTCTGTATTTATGATAGATATGACCATTTTTGGTGTTGAGTAGATTGTTGCATTGGAAATGAACTGAAGCAGTATGGTAGATTTAAAAGAAAAAAAAAAACCTTTTGTGTACATTTAGCTTTTGTATGGTCCAGCTGACAGCTCCTCATTTGATGTTGTCTTGTTCATTCCTAGCAGATAGATTGCAATCCGTTGATTCGCCGAAGCTTTTCTCCCCTTTGTCCCTTTCTTCCCCCATCCCCCATCCTGTAATCTTCCACTTAAGGTGGCTGCCTTCATTTCTTAGAGGGTGGCTGCATAATTATTTTATAAAAACTAAAGAAAGAAGTTCAAAGGGTTTTTGGGGTCACTAGGATCCTCACAGAATATTTTTGGTTGGGGAGTTGAAACTTTTTAAGGCGTATACATCCTAGTTACCTATGTCTGTTACCTTCATGCACTTATCTTATATTTTTCTCTCCTCTGTTTTTTTTTTCTTCTTCCTTCCCGTCTTCCTTTCCTTGTTTGGTAGATGCTTCAAAGATTCTTTTCCTAAAACAAAAGCATTTATTTCTGTTTGTGTAATTGGGCTGTGCACTTTTTTTTTCCCAAACAAATTTTTGGTTAGGGGTTTATTTTGGTTTTGGTTTGTTTTGGATTTTTTTTTTTCCTCTCAGAAAAAAAAAAGAAATTTCATGCTTTAAATAAAATCCAAAGACACACCCTTTCACTGCTGGTGCAGGAAGAGGGGGAAAGGGTTCTTGTTACTTGAGAATTTGTTTCTGAATTAAACAAAACAAGACTAAGTTTAAATAAAGGAAAAAAAAAAAGAGAGAAAAAGATTTCCCAGGTTGTTATCTGTGCTTCTTCTGCAAGCAGAGAGGCAGCTGTTAATGACGATTCCACATACCAAAAGACACGTTTTTACTTCAGAGTTTTGTCCTTGTGTTAGGCAGTCTGAGGGGTGAATGATCCAGAAGGGGCAGCCAACCAAGAATCAGATAGCAGTGTACAGAAAAACAAAACCCAACAGACAAACAAAAGAAGGAACCGGACATAAGGCACTTGTGTTTGTTAATCTCTGTATTCCTGTAACACAACACAACACAATGCAACGCGCCCTTTCTCATCTTTAAAAGTCTGGACTTTGAAAGGAAAACTTTGTGCTGCTAAAAATGTAGATTTCGGAGACAAATGCTTTGCTGTTTCACTTTCGTAGCCAAAAGTCAACAGAAACAATCTCCCCCACCCCACCCCTTTGCCTGGAAAGTGTGAGATCCTCCCTTCCTCCCCACCCCCCCCATCCCCATCCCTACCTCCCTTTTCTTTCTACTCCTTATGTTTCAAAAGGGAACTTTGAAGACTGTGAACCAGGTTCCATTGGTTGGTCCCCTTTCCGGCTGCTTTCCCCAGTGCTGAAGCCACTCATTCATCGGCTTTGCAAAAGACTGGAGCATTCCACGATAGGAAAATGGATTTCATTTTTTTTTTTTTAAGCCGGGACTGTTTTTATTTCTATGAGGTTTTTGTTTTTAGTTTAATGAAAGAGCAGATCCTGAACTGTTGTACATATTTCTAACTAGGCTGATGCACAGTGCAAATTCCTTTTTTTAATTGTTTTTTTTAAGTAGGAAATACTAAAGAGTACCATCTAAATATTCATACCAGTATCCAGTTGTAGCATAAGGTGTCAAAAACAAGTACACAAACCATTTGCTGTTTTAACAAGCTGTTTTCTTTTAACAGAAATTCTTGTATTTCTCCCTGTGTTTGAGATGAACATTTTTTAAATTCTAAAGTTGTACAGTTTTTTTTGTTTTCCATTATTTTATCTTGTTTGTAATTCTATGAAATATATATATATATATTTTTTGCCATTTAACTGTTGTATGTTACTCTGTGTCTGTATCATATAGAATTTTTTGTTTGTTTTGGTTCTCTGTGTGATACCAGTTAACAATTTAACACTAGCTTTATCTGTCAAATTCTGCTAGGTCTCTTCTGAAACTTTTTTTAAAATGATATTGCTTGGTAATAGTGCAATTTCTACCCCCCTCCCCCAACTTTTAATTCCTTTCCTTGAATTTTTTCCATCCCTCAGGATTTGGAAGATGGGGTGTTTGGGTGTTCTCACCACCCCCCCCCAAAAAAAAACCAGAGATTACATCCTTCCTCTCTGGCAGGTCAGATGCAGAAGGATGGTGTTCGGGCCCAGTATGCAGGCAAGGACCAGGCACTCTTCCTGGTTTTCCCTGGCCTGTGCAAGCATTGGCAAACAGCAGTGGGGCTGGGGAAGCCTTAATTTCCACCTAATGATTGTTTCCCAGATATTACTGTGACTAACCCAACTTAGTTCAACCCTGAGTAGGATGCACAGAGTAAATAATTTTTCTTTAGTCACAAGAATTCTCTACTTGGAAGCCAACCCAGGAATAGCAGAACAGTGATAGTTAAAGAGTGCAAATTAAAATGCTTCTACCCAAGGTGGCCGAGTGACCAGTGTGATTGTTTTTGGTTTTTATAAGTAGACAAATTAACTTCCAAATTTATTTGTGAATAAACAGATATCTTGATTTCAGTTTAGAGTACTTTCCATCTGGGAATTAGTTCTGTCTGCTGCCTGGTAGAAGGATGAGTGTTATTCTGTAACCCCTTTTTTTCGAAATCAGCCCACCCCTCCAATTTTTTTTTTAATCCTGAACATGGTTTCCATCTTCTTCACCCCAGCCAGAAGGGTGATGACCCTGGATTGGCTGGGACTATTTTTGTCATAGTACCAAGTGGATCCTCGGAGTTCCCCTTCTTTCTTCCACCCCTTGAAAAAGGTGGGAGAAGGTAGCCTTCCATCTCCCAAGTCCCCTCCCCATGCACACCACCCCTAAATCCTCACAATACAAGGAGAAGATTTAAAACACTTAGCAGGTTTTTCGTTTGTTTTTAAATTAAAAGCTATTTAAAGAGATGAATGTGGCCAAAGTTTTACACAATTGAAAATAAAGTAAAACAGTTGGCATGTGTTAAAGAAACCTGAATTTATCAGGCCTGTCAGGAAGATGCAGGAAAGAGAGAGGCAGTAACCCAAGCCTGTGCACTTGATGTTCATGGACATATATTTTTTTTAAATAATAAATTAAAACATTTTAAATAGAAGCAGAAATTGAGTTGGTTGGTTGGTTTGTTGGCGCTGAGATACTGCCCACTGTGAAACACAAAGCTTTGACTAGTTTTTTTTTTGTTTGTTTACTTTCTTTTGTGGGGGGGGAGGGGGGCGAGTTTGGGTAGGACAGAAAACGTAAATGAACGTTACCCTGAGGTGAAGAGGTATATGAACAGCCTTTGCAATGTACAAAAAAAAAAAAAAATAGAGCAAATGAAACCAAAAAATGATGTTCTTGGTGTTTTTCTATAATGTAGTCTTGTTAGCTTTTTTTGTTACTGTAACAATGCTGATCTCGAACTGTACCAAAATACATGGAGACTAACAGAAACAGAAACCACATGGAACTTTCAAAACCTAAAAAAAGAGAAAATTTGTCACAAAAAAACTTTGTTGTCATAGTTAAGTTGATTGTAGATGGTAATTGAATATACTCCTTTGAAAATATTTCATCAAGTATGTTTCCTGCTCATTGTGATACATTAAAAAAAAAAATGAGCAAAAGCTCTTGTCTCCGATGTCACCAGGTGTGTGCTCTGGAATGGGGTGGGGGTGGGGCTGAGTGGGCGGCCTTGACTCTGTGGGGGTGGGGGGGGGGGGTGTGCATGAAATGAAATCGATAGGCACACAGACCTGCGCCCAAGTACTTAGGGACCAACCATAAAGGATGGGTTGTCTTTCCCCATCCCCTGGCACTGGTGGAGAAAGTAGCGGAGAACATGGCCATGGCACCATCTGTTGAATTGGAAGGAAATGACCCTCGTTTGACTTAAGGAACTCTGTAAGAATCCCAGACCCCTTGCTATGTAATTGTATGCCAAGGAAAACAGGATTGCTGGGAGGAAGAAAAAAAAAATAGAAATTCACTCAACTTCTATGAAACAAACTGGATCTAGGGTTAGTGACATTTCTTTCCTCTGATTATGAGAGGGAGGGAAGAGGGAAGGAAGGAAGGAGAGAAAAAGAAAGGGAAGTCGAAGAAGTGCGTGCTTGATTACATTTCCCTTTGCTAAGCAAAGCCCAGCTTAGTGGACCACTGCAGAACAGAGGTTGGGAAAGGCTGAAATTGGTAATGCCAGATTCCAAAAGACTATACCCGTTCCTCTTATCAAAAAAAAAAAAAAAAAAATCACCCCTCACAGCAGAAAATGCCTGAAATTCATTAATAA